CCAATTGCCCCCCCGCCCCGGCTCTTATACTCAAAAACTATAGTGTTTCAGCATCATTCCTGTTTTTGTAATATATCATTTGGTTTTTGCAGAAAGGTTAGTAATTGTGGCTACTTCTTCACACACAAGGGGTAGGCCTTCATTATTTAGAATCTGTGAGCTTCAGGTAGGTTCTAAATTTGTGAGCTTTAGGAGTTCCCCAAAGGGAACTACAACTTCCCAATGATGGAAGCACAGATAAATCAACATAAATGGAACATACATTAATGTGCGAGAATGTGTGTAGAGGTTCTCTAAGGTTGGCATAGACTGTCCCCAGAAGTATTTTCATGTCACTTAGGCTTGGGAGTGAGCACTGCTCTACCTGCATGAAGCTTTATTTTGAATAAGTAGAGGGAGAAGGGAGAGCAGGACTTCATCTAAAATCAATTATAACCCATCTCTGCTTGAAATGTGCTACTTTCCAAGAGCAACTTTAGTCTTTGAATCTGTCATTGAATTAGAATGATAATAAAAATAAGCACTTTAACCATTTCACCTTGAAAAAAAATTACAAGGAGTTAATTGGATGCTTGGTGCTGCACTAGAAGTGAAATTTGAGAGGGCTCTAACCCCTTTCATTGAGTTTATCATTTACGTCTTAAATAAGAATTTCATGAAGTTGGATATATGCCATTCAATTAATAAAACATTTAGTTCTCAAAGCTGTTTTTCCTTTTATCCTGACTCACTCTGTATTATCTTTTTAATAATAATAATAATAATAGCTACTCTTTACAGAGCCTAGTATGCGTCAGCCGTTTCCACATTCCCACAAGGAGCCTAGTTGTTCAAATTCACATAACAGATATAGAGGAAAACCTAACCAAAAACCCTGATATATCCATCTCCTAATCCTGGCTTTTGCCAGTTACCCTGTCCTACTGTGTCATCATAACTATAATAATAATGGAATGACTTCCTTATTCCCTTCCTCAGTGAAAAGATTTTACCTTTATTCATATATTTTGAAAAATTCATACATATTTTTCTAAGTGTCTTTGTATCTGTAAATTTCAGCCTTCTTCATCATCTTCTCCTACCTTGAAGTCTATCTAAGGTAGAAACTGCGCCTGCTTTAAATGCATTAAAAGTGATAACTACACATCTAGTATTTTCAGCGATGTTGCTGACTTAAAATATTGGGCCTATTGTCCTTTACTATCCTTACAGTGTCTTGGAAATCCCAGTCTTTTAGCATCATTAACACTTCCCAGACTGACTACCTGGGCTACTCATGCTCTTTCTTGAGGTTGTAGTTGAAAAGTTGCTTCAAGGAAATCTTTCTCTGGCCACTTCCCATCATATCCACCCTAGATAAGTATCACGCCTTCTCTGAGTTTCCTGCTACTTTGTACTTTCCACCCATTTTAGAGCAAACCCCTCTATTCCAAAGGCTCAAGGATTGTGTCTTATTTGTTCACTTTGGGAAAAAGCATCCACTATAGCACTTGGTACATATACAAGCAATCGTAAAAGGAATAAAAATCCCTTCAAGTGTATTGGGCTGGCTTTTTGATTATTTAAATACAACCAACATAAGTGTTTGGCACTGTGCAGAGAGCAGGCTTGCAGACTGACATTTAGGGAATCCATCCCATAATGGTTATCATCTTCCCCTTTTCATAGATGTATCAGGAAATCATGCTTGCACTTAAAGCTGCAAGCAAGGATGACTCGACCATAACTGTTGTAACAGGTAAGACATTTTCTTAGATTCCTTTTGTTTGTTTGTTTTTAACAGGAGAAAATCAAAGTGTAATACATGCATGGGGAATTCACATAGATATAAATCAATGAAAATTCCAAAGACAGTGAGGCAACATTGGATATGTAAGGTATTTGGCAAAGGGAAAAAGGGGAGTAACAGGGTATTAGAGTTCAGCAGAGAGACTGGGAGATTTACAAGTAGTTGAGGAAGAGCAAAACTTTTCTTAGATTTCTTAATTAAATTTCTATTTTGGGGGATTTCCTACTAGATAGGAAATTGAGTACATAAGCTCTAAGATCTTGTCCAGTACTAAGATAATATAATTCTTAAATATATGAAAAATTTAATAGGCACAAAATGGTATTTATAAAAAGCAGATACACGTAAGGAAAGTAGTATTGGTACTAAAATTGGGTACTTGCCAATAATAAGAGAAAAGTAATCTTGGCAGCATTACTATGTGAAAACTTTCTAAATACGTTGCCGTAATAGAATAATGAAGCAAATTACAGAACATCCACTAGCCTGTATATTGCACAAGCATTCAAAAGTATAATTCTAAAGATCAACAGTATAGAAAATGTTTAAGATATTAAAAAAATTAAAAATATATCATTATTGTGATTATACTGGAAAAATAAGATGGATGCCCACGGGCCTGGGCTGATGAAAACATGGAAAATGGAAGTTGTTGGATTTGGATGGGCATATGCATAGTGGGGACTCAGATCAACTTGAGGTAAATCCTGGGTTCACTCCTTACTCCTGTGGGTGACCTCTGCTTCTGAACGGAGAAGACAGTGTTTTACTAACGCCATTGAATGGATGAGATGATGACATGAGATAATGCAGGTAAGGGGCATGGCACACAGCAGACACCTGTTAGAAGTAGCTGTTACTGTTTGTAGGCATGGCAGAAGCAAGAGTGATTTTATTTTAAAATTTTCATTACAATTTGTAAAATAAATAATTATCTAGGGATATCAGATATGTCTTAGTAAAAAATAGAGGTGTGGGGGAGAGAACTCTAATAGCTGATTTGAGGGAGGAATAAAAGGGAAGAGTTGAAAATGGCCCTCGTATTTCATTTGTATGCTCATATAATTTAAGAGAATAAATAAAAGAAAAAGAGTCTAGAAATAGCATTGGTTTGATACTGGAGAAAAATGTTTTATACTTTTTAAATGAACTATTCTTAATTAAAGTAAAATATAGGTACATGGTATTTTAAAAAACAAAAAAAACAAAATTAAAGTTACATAACAAAACTAAATTTCACTCTCCTTGGAATCCCAATCCTGCTTCCTAGAAAAACTCAGTTTTCCTTGAAGCCTTTCAGAAAGTTGTCTGTGTATATACAAGCATGTGTGTGTTTGTTTCCCTCCACTACAAAAAAACAAAAACAGAAAAGGAAGCATATAATACACACATATTATACCCACCTTCCTTTCTTAACATTTCCTGAAAAATTGTTCTGCCAGTACATACACTTCTAAGTTTTCCTCTTCAGGACTACAAAGTGCTAGTATTAAATTTTTTGGATTTCATAATTCATCATTCCACTGTTGATGAACATGTAGATTGTACTTAGTCTCTTGCTATTGAAATGATGCTGTAGTAAGTACCCTTGGATGTATGTCTTAGAACTAACATGCAAAATATAGGCTGTATTCCTAAAAGTACGATTCCTAAGTTTAATAACAATGATAATAATGGTTAATATATATATATATTACATATATGTAATATGTAATACTTTCTGTTTTCCAGGCACTCTAAGCACTTTAATTATTTTTAAAGTTTTCTTTTAATTTCTTAATTTTTTTAAGCTTTCTCATAACAAGACTATGTGACTAGGCCCTATTATTACACTAATTAATAGGTAAAAAAATTGAAAGATTAAGTTTTGATAAATAGTGCTTTCACTCATTATTTTCTATATGTTTTCCACTTTTAGTTTCTAATTCCTCTTTGATCTAATCATTACATGATAATATTCCTTTAATTTCCAGAAAGTTTATTTGGGGGTTTCCATTTCTGTTCATTCCTAGCTTTATATATTATAATCAGAAATAATCAGTTTTACTAATTTTACTTTTTTAGAATCTATTAAAATTTAGTGTATATTACTATCTATTGAAAATTCTATCTTGAAGATAAAGTAGAAAATGACCAATTTTTATATCCTCCAGGAGCACTTCAACAGTTCTGTGCTATTTTATATATGTGATAATGTACAATATAATATATGAAAGATAATTTTAAGTAATACATTTATTCTTTTTTAAATTTTTTTTAATCCTTACCCAAGGATATGTTTATTGATTTTCATTTTTTAGAGAGAGAGAAATATCAGTGTCAGAGGAAACATTGATCGGTTGCCTCCCATATGTACCTCGACCAGGGATAGAACCCAGAACCTAGGTATGTGCCCTGACCAGGAATCAAACCCGCAACCTTTTGGTGTACAGGACAGTGCCCCAACTAACTGAGTCACCCAGCAAGGGTTATCATCATTTTTAAGGTGTAGAATTTAAATTGTCAATTTATATTATTTTGATTCCTCAAATTATGTTTTTTCTTCTAATGACTATCTTGGATGGAAAAAAATGAATTAAAGGCATCTATCACTATTTTGTTTGTCACTTTCTCCTTTGTGTCAAAAAAAATAGGCCTTTGTTTTAAAGCATGTTTTTATCTTGATGATACTAAAAGATTTATGATTAGTCTCTTCAATATGGAATTTATCCTTTATTGCCAACTGGCCCTCTAGCTCATTTAATGCTTTTTGCCTTGAAATCACCTCTGTCAAATATTAATGCCATAACACCTGCTTCAGTACTGTTTTCACTTGTCTGTAAACCTTTATTGATCTTTTAACTTGACACTTTTTTGAATTATTTTTTTATTGGCTGTTTCATATAGCACATTTTTTGGGTATTCCTCCTCTGAATGTATGTGTTTTTGTTGTAAAGGTTTGTGTATATGACAGATATGTTGGGTTTTAGTTCTGGCATCTTACATGCTGTCATTTATAATGCTTCCTTTAATTGTTATTTTTTACTTGATAGTCTGTTTCTCATTTTGCTTAGTGTGTGTTTTATTCCTCACCGTTTGGAAGCTTTTTACTGCTTTTACAGCTTTATGTGGTGCACGTAAGCATCTCTATCTTCTATTACTCCCTTCGGGCAGTATCTGTTGGTTGCCTCCATGAAAGGTGAGGAAGTGAGCATGAATCCCCTGATATCCCTAAACCTCTCTCCAAGTGTATAATCTGTTAAATAGAGCTCCATTATTTTCTAGCATCGAATGTTGCTGGGGAGATATTTGAGACTACCATTAATTTTGGTTTTAGTCCTTTAAGATCATTTTTTTTCTCTAGATGACCATGGGATACTTTCCCATTTTATTAAATCACTTTTCCCTAGGCAGTGCACATCCTTTTTAAACTGATTATTAAGGCCTTATTTTAAATTTTCTTTGATAATATCTCTGAATATTTTTGTTTCAATTTATCTGTTCTCTTTGAAAGAAATTCTAGTTATAGAAAAGTAATGTTTGGTCTGCTGGATCTGTTATCTATTATTTTCTCAGAATTCTTAACTCTGTTGTCTTCCATTTGTTTTGCTCAATTGTCTCAATCCTGTATTTCAATGCCTTGATTGCATTTTTAGCAATGTCTCTTCTCCTTTTACTGCTTCTAATGGCATCATTTCTTTAATGGTTATGGTTTTCTCTCTCATTTTTTCCTGGATTCTCTCAGGCATCTTTTCATTTCTTTCTGTTGTCCATCACTTCTATTTTGAGTCCATAGGACAGCTCAGCTCTTAATGTTTTAGGTAGGTGGGTAGGTGGGTGGATGGATGGATGGATGGATGGATGGATGGATAGATATAGGATAACCATAAGCTTTTTTGGGAGAAGATTTATTGCTCAGAAATTTGTTGAAAATACTATTTATGACACTATTTCCTTCTAGTGGAATCAAGGAAGAAATTGAGGAACAAACATTATGTAGGAATACTGCTGAAATTAATACAGCTCTTTGCTTCTCATTACCCCACATGTAACTGTGTAAAGCCCTGCTTACAAAACAAACATGTCCTTTGAATCTTTCCTTTGAAACTGGCCCTCGAGCCCATGTGATCTCTGTTTCTGCTTAAGTCTCCAATGACCATTATGTAATTAAATCCACATTTTCAGGCTTTATTTGACTTTCCCTTCTTCTTAAAGCTCTGTCTTCTCTAGGCTGTAGGGGCACAGCCTGCCCCTGGGTTTCCTCCTGTTCCTGGTTCTCTCTGATCGCCTTTGCAAATTCATCTTCTGTGTGGCCACCAAATGAAGTATTCCTGAAGGTTTAGCCCTAGGCACTCTCCCTTCTTGATCTGTGTCCTCCCTGGACCCTCTCATCCATGCCTACTATTAAACTTCAGCAAAAGTCTTTAGCCTATGATTCCCATGTCAGTATCTTTAGTCCACGATGCTCCCCGGGGTTCCAGACTGGTATGGGTGTCACTTCCCACATCTCTACATGGGTCTTTTTTAGTGTTCCAAATTACAGTGGTGGTTCCATATGTACCATTATGTAGATCAGAATCCTAGCATTAATTTTTAAAATATTTTTTATTGATTTTAGAGAGGAAGGGAGAGGTAGAGAGAGATAGAAACATCAATGATGAGAGAGAATCATTGATCAGCTGCCTCCTGCACCCCCCCCCCCCCCCCCCCCACTAGGGATCAAGCTGGCAACCCGAGCATTTGCCCTGACCAGGAGTCGAATCATGACCTCCTGGCTCATAGGTCGATGCTCAACCACTGAGCCACGCTGGCCAGGCCCCTAGCATTCATTATTGATACATGTCCCTTCCTCAACTTCTGTGTCCAGTCTAATCTCATTTCACTTTATCAATATCTCTGGAAGAATCGATCTTTTTTTCTTTCTGTCTTCTCGGCACTAGTCCAAGCCACCATGGACTCAGTCTGAACTGAAGTCAGCCCATATCTAGTCTCCCTGACTTCCTTTTGCCTTCTTCTTTCTCATGCCCAGTCCAGTCTCCTCACTACATTCAAAACAATCTTTTCCAAATAAAAAACTATTCCTCCCCCATTTAAAAGTCTTTAGTGGCACTGTGGCGCTTCAGTGGAGAAAGAAAAATCTTTTAACAAATGGTGCCAGAGCAACTAAATTTCCATATGGGGGAAAATAAATTTCAATCCCATCTTACACCTTACACAAAAATTAATTTATCCAAGCATAAAACCCAGAAACATAAAGCTTCTAGAACAGAACAATATCTTTGTGACTTTGGGAGAGGCACAGATATCTTGGACAGGAAAACAACAAAACAGCATTAGCCATAAAAGAAACAATTTATAAATTAGACTATCAAAATTTAAAATTAATATAAAGTTATAGGCTGGAGAAAAAATATTTGCCATATAAAAATCTGATTAAGGACTAATATTCAGAATATATAAAGAACTATTGATAAGATGAACCGTCAGATTTTTAAAAAATATATTTTTATTGATTTCAGAAAGGAAGGGAGAGGGAGAGTGAAAAACAATGATGAGAAAGAATCATTAATTGGCTGCCTCCTGCACACCCCCTACTCAGGATGGAGCCAGCAACCCGGGTATGTGCCCTTGACTAGAATCAAACCTGAGACCCTTCAGTCTGCAGGCTGACACTCTACCCACTGAGCAAAAACAGCTAGGGATGAACGATCAGATTTAAAAACTGGATAAAGACTTGACACTTCATAAAAGAAGTGAAAAGGTTCTCAATATCATTAATCAAAGAAATGCAAATTAAAACTACCCTGAGATATGTCACCCACTAGACTGGCTAAAATCCAAAAACAGACAATATCAAATATTGGTGATGATGTAGAACAACTGGAACCCTTCGACATTTCTGATATGAGAACATTTTGTAGTTATTAGTTGGCAACTTGTTATAGAGTTACACATCAGCTCAGTGACATACCAATGCAAAAATTCAAGATAAATTAAGGATATATCTATAAAAAAAATTTGTACAAAGAACGATCATGGTAGCCTACTTCACAGTAGCCAAAAACTGAAAGCAACAAAATGTCTATCAAGCCCAGCCAGTGTGACTCAGTGGTATAGTGTCAACCTATGAACCAGGAGGTCCTGGTTCCATTACCAGTTGGGGCACATTCCCAGGATGTGGGTTCGATCCCCAGTAGGGGGCATGCAGGATGCAGCCATTCAGTGATTCTCTCTCATCATTGATGTTTCTATCTCTTTCTACCTCTCACTTCTTCTCTGAAATTAATAAAAATATATTTTTTAAAAATGTCCATCAATAAGAGAATAAATGATCAAGTTATCCTAGTATATAAAAAAGCCAGGGGCTGTCACGACCGAAACAACTGGACGGACGACCGAACAGCAGGTTGCGTGGGGTGACCAGACCGGCAGGGGTACAATTGGGGGTGACCAGGCTGGCAGGGGGGCAGTTGGGGATGACCAGGCCGGTGGGAGTGGCAGTTGGGCCAGGCAGGC